AATGATCAGCTGATCGGCTTTTCTCTCTTGTTTGTTTATCGCTCACTTTGCACGAGAAAGAGGAAACTGCTGGATGTCGTGCTAACTAACACCAGCACGTTTAAGCTTGATCAGCTGTTGTTAGAATTTATTTAATATTAATTTCTAGTATCAGCTAATGTTTGCTGGAGCCACAGCTGTAAAAGCTGCTGGTCATGATGTCGTTTGGATATGTGGTGAGAGGGAAACATGAAGATGAAACCAGGAGATGTCCTTACTGAATAATCAGAGCTGAACAGGTGATGGAGAAACAGGTTTACCTTTTAGGTGACTTGAATGAGTTGAAGGGAAGTTATGAACTGTTTCTGAGAGACAAATAACACCAGGATCCTTTTTTTTATGTAGCTGAGAGCTGGTAACTGTGCAGGGGCGGATCTAGCAAAGTTTTGCCAGGGGGGCCAGGTAGGGCATTAACAGGGAGAGGTGGGCACAAAGAAATACTTTTCTTTCTTATTCTCATTTAAAATGTCTGTCTGTTATTAAATAATTATCTGAATCTTACAACCAAAGTTTTTATCTGATGTAAAATGTATAGAAATCATACATATACCAACAAGACAGTGTACATCACTGTCACTAGGGCTGGGCTATATCATACCGTTCACGGTAATACCGGTGTAATTTTGGGCAACGATAGGAAAATGAAATATCGCAATAGAATATGGGTAAAACGTGCATGCGCAGTGCCTATGTTTACATAGGCACATGGCGGCGACGCAGAATGAGAAGAACGAAAGAGGGTCGTTAAATGAAACGGATGAACCAGAATTGGTTTGTAAAAATGCTACAACTTCAGTGGTGCGGAACTGGTTTAGCTTTCGTCCGTCAGATACACAACAAAGCACTATTTTTGGTAGAGCATGCTACCGGGCCGTTGTTATTACCGTGTTGTTTGGAAAATACGGCACACTTAAAATCAATCCTTTGATTTTTCTGAAAATTGACAGTGCCCCTTATAATCCCGTGTGCCTTATGTATGAATTCTGGTTGTGTTTACTGACCTCGAAACGATTTTATGTCGTACACGGCGCTCGAAAATCTGTCAAATGTTTTAGTACGACTTTGCTAATTGCTAAGCTACAAACCCGCTTGATGGATTGTCGGAGTATTACGGCTATATTAGGCAGGCGCCTCGCGGAGTGATACGTACTGTGCTTCAACATAATATTACCGTATTGTGTGTGTATAACCTCTTTTTAAGTTTTGTGGATATTATACATGGTTATGCTGAGGATATATCGGCCAATTTCCACTGGAAATGCCTTTTGGTTAAACTGTCAGCAAGGAATTTGCACTGTTAAATTTTTAAATAACTTTAATGCACATAAAAAAACAGCTGCTTGTTTAAGTGAAAATACATTGATGGGGTTTTTTGCACTAATAAAGTTGTGGAGTTGTAAAGTATTTTGTCTAGTGTCAATTATATCATCAGTTATATCGTTATCGCAAATTTTCAAATGTATATCGTGATAAATATTTTTGGTCATATTGCCCTGCTCTAACTGTCACAACAGCGTTTGTTTTCATTCAAAGGCTTTATGGCTTTAATACCTGGTGGGCCGGTCTTTAGTCAAAATGCCCGGGCTGTTTTTTTGTCCCAGTCCAGCCCTGGGCACGACACGCAGTGAATTAATCTGAGAAGGTGCATCAAAAAATAAATGGCCGCGCCAGCGGTGCACATCGCAAATTAGCTCGCATAGACACATTAGTTGTGCCTCTTCTTAACTAACAACCCCAAGTACCAGATTCAACTTGTAATTGGCTAAAAATAACTTACTGTCTACATCCGTAGACTCGAGACACAATGCATTTTTGGGACTTTCAGGTGCATGGACCAATGTTTTATTTTCTGATCAAACCAGAAATCTTTAATGAGCAGCTGGATTTGTCTCGCATTAACTGGCTGAGTTAATGCCAGTTAATGCAACATTGAAGCAGCTGGAATCCATAGCTGTGCGTGTTCATGGAGCTTGCATTTTCACCTGCTGGACATCACTACCTGACAAGTTTAACTGGCTTCAGAACATTGCAGAGGCATTATTGACAGTATTTGGCTCTACATATCTGTGTGAGCAGATTTTCTCTCTCACATGAAGAGTGTCCTCAGGTAGCCGTCAGAATGCTGGACACTTGGAGACCTGTGTCTCTGAGTGGGAGACCAGAGATCAGAGTGTATTAACAAACATGCCATATTGGCCCAGTTTATTTTTCTTATCATTGTTGTGAGGAGACCATAAATAGCATTTGTATTTTCTGTTTTACAGTCCATTTGCTGTTATGGAGTCTTTGTTATGGATAAAAAGTGTCTTTCTTTGTTTCAAAATAGCTGATAACTATTCGCTGATAGCTGCCAACATCTGTGAACAAATATAATTATATAAAGTTGTTCTATATAGTGTGTAACTGTTAATACAGAGCGTTATTAAATTTATTGCTAATGCAATCATATGGCACACTGACCTCTGAGGAAATTTTAAATGGCACTCGCCATCAGAAAGGTTGCCGACCCCTGTTTTAGTTAATATTATAATCTTGATTATTTATGATGAAATTAGTCAGCTGACAAGTAGTTAAGAAAATTGATGTAGGGATGATTAGTGTTGCTTTTTAAACACAAAAATATATGAGTCAACATATATAAAAAGTTCTGAAGAATAAATTAAAGACAGGGAGCATCAAAGAACTGTCAAATTGTGAATATGAAACAGAATTTTTCCATTAATGCCTAATGCTAATGTATACATTATATTAGTTAGTGGTCCTTACATAAATGCAGGCTCCATCTTCTGTTAGCAGCAGGTTACAGGGGTGCAGATTGTCCTTATGAACTGTGGGAGATTTGCCCACAGTGAAGCCAGAGGCCACCACTACATCCTGTAAGAAAACACAAGATTAAAAAAACAACAACAGGAGAAATCAGGGATTTAAACCCAGAGAGCTGAGAGACAAATCATGCAACTTTTCTTCCAGAGGGAGAATTGGAGCAGCAAATATTGCACCCTGAGAGACTTTTGTGTTGGGAGCAAGACATCAACACATCCCACAGATGATAAGCTGGTGTGAAAAGTGTAGATTGTCTTTTGTTTGGCATGTCAGCTACCCCAATATGGCTTCAAAGCCTCCCCTCAGGGCTGACAAGGGGACAGCAGATACTCTGAATAATCATGTTACAGAGACACAGCCTGACAAAATCTCTGGGATATATGGCTGAGTGCAACAGCTCAAGCTGTGATGACTTCTTGCCTTTAACAAGCTTTATGGGAGCTTGAGTTCCATGAAAATGCTACTGTGAGGAAACCAGAAACATAGTGATATGCAGCTGGGGAGGATTATCGTTGATGTACTCAATGTCTCTGCCCTGGACACAAACAAATTCAACTCTGCAAAAATGTCACAGATATTATACAGTACAGTATCATAGCAGACTGTCACAGTGAGTTGGAGCAAAACTGACAGGAGCTAACTGAGATATTTTAGTGTTACACTTGAAACATGAGGGACTAATCAGGACAGAACAGAGCTCACCATTAAAGTCTACTCTTTAAAGCTATTTAAAGTGTTAAAATCCAGTCTCTAATATTACCAAATGGAGACATGTCCTGGAGACATGACAAGTCTTTGCTCTTTGCAAATATTTGTTATTACAATAAAATAAAATTCACAAGATAACATTGATAACATATACTTTATACTATTGTATTTTTTAGAACATAAGATTCCATTACTTCAAACAATCAGAGACACAAACACAACTCACCACTGATTTCTTCAAATACTCTATGTGCAAAGTGATTCAGCTAATCAAAACAAAAAAGAAATAATGTTATATTCATCCACAAATCACATGAATGCCCCTCAGCTCATTAGACATTTAAGTAACAGGTTTTATGAAAGAAAATTATAATTTCCATTAGGGGTGGGCGATATAAACGATATACGATAGAAACTATATAAATTTGGCCAATGATAGAGATTTTGACTATACCGTGATAGCGCATGTTGATGATGTCATCAAGTTGCACCTGTTTTGGTCGAAAGCATCGCAGCGGCTAAAACCATTATCATCTGCAAATTATGCCGGGCGACAGTCATAGTAAAAAGATGAAGCACTTTTGAAATATGGGGAAAGACAAAAACTGCGCTTCCTCCACTTCCGTAACATTGGTGGGAAGGAAAAACTCCCTTAACAGGGAAAAAAATCTGGCAGAACCAGGCACAGAGAGGGGCGGCCATCTGCCACGACCGGTTGGGGTGAGAAGAGGAAGACAGGACAAAAGACAATGTGTGGGAGAGCCAGTGATTAATCATAATAATTAGACCAAGATAAAAGATGAGTGAGGGTTGGCAGTTTCTAAACCAATCATCTACCAGTATTCCTTAAATGTAGTTACTGTAGGGGTTAGTCTTTAATGAATAAAAGTATTATTTTTTTTACAAAGTAACATCATAGATAAGTTGAATAACTTCAGAAATAACAAAAAAAATATTATTATGGATAGTTTCATTTGGTCTCTCACAGTTGCGGCAATCATTGGCAAATCCCAAACCCTGCATTTAAGTGTTTACTAAAGACTAATAACAACTCACTAATAACAGCTAGAACAGCTCAAGTCTCTTAAAATAAAACCAAAGCCAAATCTTTTTGGTCAAAAATTTGATATGGCCTGTGTTCCTTAGACTTCGTGAAGACATTTGATGTGAACATTATTTTAACATTTTTTTCTAAATGGTGTGATGAGCCTCCTAATCTATTTTGTTAGATTATGTGACTCATGGGCAGAGCGAAGAATTTCTAGCCAACTGGTTGTCATCAGGAGCTAATAATAAAGGCCATTATAAAGCACTGACATGTTTTTCTCTTGCTGCTCCTCACATGGTAAACAGCCTCCCAGTCTGATAGACCCTCAAGCAACCACCTCACCACTGTTTACTGATTTATGACCCGTTTCTACCTTTTGCAAATAAAATAGTTAATGCGTAACTTAGTTGTGTGGACTCCCAATTTTGTTGCAAAGTAGAGCCACTTGTAACATTGGCAAAACAGTACTGACTGGAAATAGCAAATATACAGTTAGATCGATAAATATTTGGACACAGATCCCTTTTTTCTAATTTTGGTTTTGTACATTAACACAATAAATTTTAGGTAAACAACTCAGATGCAGTTGCGGTTCGGCTTTAATTCAGTGGGTTGGACAAAAAGATTGCACCAAAAATGTGAGGAACTAAAGCATTTCTTTTTAAAAACAATCCCTTCATGTCAGTGACATCACCAGATGTTGGGTTTCCTCCTTTCTAATGCTCTGCCAGCCTTTACTGCAGTGGCTTTCAGTTGCTGTTTGTTTCTGGGCCTTTCTATCCAAAGTTTAGCCTTCAACAAGTGAAATGCTCAGTTGGGATCAGGTGACTGACTTGGCCATTTAAGAATATTCCACTTCTTTGCTTTAATAAACTCATGGGTTGCTTTGGCTGTATGTTTTGGGTCATTGTTCATCTGTATAATAAAACTCCTCCATCAATTTGACTGCATTTAGCTCAATTTGGGCAGACAGTATGTCAGACAGACACCTCAGAATTCATTCAGCTGCTTCTGTCCTGTGTCACATCATCAACTCTTTCATGCATGATTTATGACAACCTCATCTTTAGCCATTATTAGGGATTAAATAACAATAATTACAATGAAACATATCTATAGTAACATTAAACGACCAGTGGATGGCAGGGTATTGAGTGACACATCAGTGTCCAATGTAGTGGTTTATGTACAAGTATACCATCAACACTGACACAAATACAATAAAAACAGTCTTTGAATAGCTGTCCACTGTAGTGACCGCTATGCATGAAAGGGTTAATAAACACTAGTGTCGCTGGCAGCCATACATGCCCAAACCATCGCACTGCCTTCGCTGTGTTTATGGTTTGCTTTGGATCGTGAGCTGTTCTACACCTTCTCCAAACTTTTTTCTTGCCTTTCTAGTAGAGGTTGATCTTGATTTCATCTGTACAAAGAATGTTTTTCCAGAACTGTGCTGGCTTTTTTAGATGTTTCTAACAAAACCACTCCTTAGTTTTTCAATGTAAATAATACAAACTTTAAAATGCAACATTTATTACTCCATCTCATTCAGCCCTGATGCTTTGTGAAGACAAAAGTCTAAAATGACTTATTTTTGAAGATTCAGAGTAGGGCTGTTCGATATAACGATATGTATCGGATGACGATATAAAAACGTCTATTGTTTCATTTTACACTATCGTTTGTTTCGTGGTGTCGCAAAATAAACTGTTTACGGCAATATTTTTTCATCATTTTGATGGTCACTGTAGTGGCTATATT